GGATTCAAACACACAAAGTTATGGTCTCCAGCTTTCACACAACCCAAATTTTACTCTCAGAATATGACGGTCAGGTAGTAGCCAAGAAATAGAAACTGATAGAATACTGGAAGTGCATGTTGATGCACTCTTCCCAAAAAATACCAACTTATTACACTGTTACCTATCTGCATGGGTCTTACTAAGCTCATTTCTAGCCAGATAACTTCTGGGAAATGTTCACTCTACAAATGAGATGTTCTTCCTTTATCATGACAATGAGAAACAGTGTAGCTAGATGTAATTGAAATTGCAGTCAGTTCACCACCATTAGGCACAATACTGGAGAAAAGCTAGCATCATTAGTGCCTCACTCTGTGAAAAAGAGAGTGTGGGGATAAAGACAATCAAGGTTTTTTTTTTAAGAGAATTTTATTGAGCTTTTACATAAGCATGCATTTGTTGGCAAGTCCATCCTATTCTTGCACTTTCTTTTAGTGAAGCTATTATATTTAATTATTGCTGATGCTACTTAGGATTAGGCTCCCAATTATTGGTTCTACCACATGCAAAGTAACTATTCATCATGTGAAGGCATGAGTTGGTGCTGTAGCTAAATGGGTTAATCCACTGCTTGTGACTCCCACAAACCATACAGGAGTGTGGAATGAGTCCTAGATAATTCACGTTCCATCCAGCACCTTGTTAACAAGCTGGTAAGCAGATAATAGTGTTAAGTACTTGAGTTCTTGCCAACCGCATGGAAATCCACATGGAGTGGCTGGCTCCTGGCTCCGGGCTGGCCCTTCCCCAGTCTTTACAGCCACTTTAGGTGTAAGTCATCTCATGGGAGATACCCTCTGTCTTTATCTTTCATACTACCTTTCAAATAAGCAAATCAATAAATAATTAAAAGATAATATGGGAAAAATCAAATGAAAATTCTATTTGGTGAGGTAAAAGTGAAGGCGTAAAATTTTATTTAATTCTACATAAACATATCTGGAATTGTATTTTAGCCATCATTATTAGGAATGCTACCTATAATTAGCTTCACTTCACAAAACCGCTCTGTGCTATTACCACCACTGTTGTCATTTGATTTGAACTTTTTTCTAAGAGATTCATAAAATTTACATTTATGCATTTGAGTAGGACATGCAACAAATGACTGACTACACAATGCAAACTGAGGTTTTCTAAAAAGTAAACATAACAATATACTTTCTCAAATACATGTAAGCAATAGAAATCATATATTTCATGAGATAAAAGTATATCATATGCTTACCCAAATCAGACACTGTACTAGTTACTTGAGGTACAATTACAGAATACTTTCACTAAGCCTAAGAGAGCATGTGTGCTGGAGAGAGTGAGCTGGGGTGGGGACAGACCAGACTTGGCAGGGCTACAACCCCTGTGTGCCTCATGTGGACTAGATCAGGGAAAAGCCAGGCTGGGCTGATTGATCCTACTGGTGGAATCTACAATTAGAGGGGGTGAGGGTTGTTTGGGCTTAGCCACAGCATCAGCTGACAGGAACTGGCACTGGGTGCTAATTCTGGCAAGTTAAACCACAGAACCACCTGGAGAGTGCATAATCCAGGAGTGGGAGTGGCCTGGGAGGAAAATAGTGGGCTCCTCCAAATTGGGTTACCACTTCCACGGAAGGGCACAAAAACTAGGACATGGGCAGGGGTGGCTAGACAGACACCCAACAACATCCATGAGGGCTGGATTGTTGAGCTGGTTAGATGGCACTAGGCTTTAATACCCATTGGCATGTATGAGAGCCGAATGGGATGTGGGACAGACTGTACTAGTCCGCTGCACATATTGGCAGACTAGGGCAGGGGGCAGGTCTGGTGGGGTTATTGTGGGTCGCTCCGACTAGGCTGCAGCTGTCACTGGTTTGTGTGAGGACTGAGTATATGCTGGGCAGAACCAGGCTGGACTGTGGCACCCATTGGTTCCAATGAAGACAGGGCTGGAAACAGAACGAACCTAGCAATTGAAACCACCAGCTGATTGGGTCGACGGACTGTGCCAGGCCCTGTGCTTGCTAGTACATACAAGAATCTGGTCTAGGAACACCTCAGACAATTTCTTTGGGGATCCCCCCAATCAAACTGCAGGACGCAGAACTCTAAGCACTAAAAGACAGGACAGGACAAGTCAACCACCTCAGCTATATGTTGGCAGTGAAATACTGGGCAAATGGAGACTCTATGATGGACTATGTCAATCAGTGGATTCTTCAATGACCTCATCGTGCTTGGAGTGGCGAGAATGGCAGCAATTCATTACTGTTGAACTATCAAAACCACTTGAGCAAGACTCTTGGAGCATACCCCACAACAGGGTCCTGGGGTGGGTGGGAGACTTTGTGGGGCTTCTCCCTTAAAATCCCCTTTTACCTCAGATACATGAAGGAAACAATATGGAACTAATTGTCCTATCCATTTTTCTGTAGCGCTTGAACCTTTTTACCCTAATTATGTAAAGATTGTAAAAAAAAAATATATATATATGTATATATAAGAGCATGTGTGAAAGCTGTGCGGAAGACTAGCTGGTTGATGACAAAACCACTTATTTTCTTGAGAGATTCATCTTTAAAGATACATACACTATATTAAAGAGACTGTGAATTAGGCATGAGACAGTATGTGTTTTCCTAAACAGTTTAAGAATAGGCTGTAGTTTATTTTTTTAATTTTACCAATATTGGATATTTTCTTCTTATATCAGCCTTAAAATAGGTTTATGCATAATGTTACCTTTGGATCAAATGCTTACTTCAGTATTCAAGTCACTGAAATATAGGTCTTAAATCTTTCAAAACTGCCTCAAGTGTGACATAGTTCACTCTTATGCTTTCAATGTCACCATTGAGATTGTATGCAGAAAATATGTTAGCCACATAATTTGAAAATCACATCAAAGTGGAACTGATGAATTCCTTGATTGAAATATACCTAAGTGTTTGCATTTATGTCTACAAAACGTAACTTTTTCCTGGAAATATTCTGAACGTTCTTAATTCTAGTTAAAGTTTAAAAAAAATTCTTTGAGGCTTAGCTGAGTATCTCTTTAAAGTTCACAGGTTTAAAGATTGGACAGAAATAGTTTTGAAGTTTCATTGCAATTTTCAAACAGGAAAAATACTTCACATAGATTACAAACTGTTAAAGTTTTCCAGCAAAGTTTAAAAAAAGAATGATACTTTGTGATGGACAGTAAGCTAACATGTTAGAGAAAGTTTTCTCCCTGTCCTTGATATGAGTCAAAATCACAAGGGCAAAATTTCAGGGTAAATGAAAGGGAAAATTTAATTTACTGAGAGATGAGGACTGTAACAGACTTTTGAGTTCCTAAAACTACCACCCTGCCTAGAGGGTGTGGCTTGGCGCTTTCAACAGGGCTGCAGAGGAGTTGGAACTGATGTGTTGAGTGCTAAAACTAGATACCTGTGAGATAGCAAAGTATCTCAGACATTAGCCCAGTTCCTTGTAAAAGTGTGTGATGGCTTTATCACAAGGAAGATATAAGATTATAGCCTTATCACCTGAGTAACTATACAACATTGCTCTGGTTAATATCTGAAAGAGGGAAGTATTGTATTAAAAGATTCCAGTGTCTTATTAATGCAAATGAAGCTTGCTTAACCTAGAAATCATGCTTGTGTGTTCCAATCAATTTATACCTGTAGTCATGCTAACTAGTGATGGTTAGATTACTTTGAGTCACAGGTGGCTTTAACGAAGACACTTAGAAAAGCTCACAAATTCTTGAAGCAAATGTTAATCGTGTGTTTGGACAGACACTGTAGTTAGCCACAGACTCAGTAATATGCTTTTGTTCATTAAAAAAAATTAAACATAAGATATTTAATTTATCTACAGTGGCTTCATAAACAGTATCTTCTAATTGTGAGAGGACAAATGATTGAGAAATTTCAAAGCACAGAGAAAAGTTTGTGTGAAAATATGTGGGACACAGAAGGAGCAATAGAAGAAAGCACATGAAAGAAGGTTTTCTATCATTTATTTCAGGCATATCATTAAAAATCAGCTGAGTGTTTTTCAAGGAAAAAAATAATCACTTCTAATAATACATACATTGAAGTGTGAGTCGTTCTTCATAGCTGTTGACTGCAACATAAGAACATCATGTTGTATACCACAGTCCCTGTTCCAGAGTCCCTGCTGCTCTGATTCTGAACCAGTTTCCTGGGAAGCAGCAGGTCATAGCTCAGGTTCGTTGTGTCTCTGCTGTCTACATGGGAGTCACATGGAGTTCCAGCCTCCTGCCTTCAGCCTGGCCCAGCTCTGCCCATCATAAGCATCTTGGAGAGATTCAGAAGGTGGAAGGTCTTTCTCTGTGGCTTCCTCTTTGTGGTCCTTTGCCTTTCAAAGTGTAAAATAACATGTGCATAAAATAATTATAAATTTCAAAAATAAAGGAAGCTGATTTTATTGATGATGTATTTATACAACTAAGACATTAGTTTATCAGACTATTTTGCTCAGAATGTACTAAAAGTCTACTTGAAATTTTTAGCTAATTGTCATTTAATCAGAAGGCAAGAGTGAAAGTCTTATGTTAATTGGCTCAGGCATATGGAATTAACACAAAAGGAGCAACTATTCCTCTTTTCAGTAATTTCTAGCATTGCCATTTAAGCTACCACAATCAAAGTAATACAACAAATAATTATTTTGTACCAGCATCTTATGTAAAAAATGAATACAGGCATGTGTAGATAATTGTTGCTAAACTATAACTTAAAATCTAGGTAAAAGCAGAATTGTAGATTAATCATTTAGGCACCATTCCTTTCACTGAGTTTTCTGTCATTTAACCCTCAAATACAGACATATGATGATATTAATTGCTATGATAGCTAAAGGAAATAAGTGGCTGAAACTAAAATACTAGAAAAAGAATCACATGTGAAATCCAAGGATTCAAAATTTGATTCCAACTTAAAGTGTGTTTTCTTTCTGACTCCACAGATTCCAGTTGTGTTTGGTATTATGGAGATTCCTACTTAAAATTTCAGAATGTGTTTTTAAATCAGCAAAACAACATTTCCCTAGAATTTCAAACCTCAAAGTCCTCAGGACTTCTTCTCTATATCAAGCAAGACTCAGATTCAGTGGATGCATTTTTCACTCAACTATATATTGAAAATGGTACTTTAAAGGTAAGTCATTTGATTAATTTAATAGATTTCCTGATTAAGTGGCTATTGTTAAGTGAAATTTTAATTTAAAAATGCTTCTTGTACTTACAACTTCTTCTTGCTTCAATTCCTTCCTGTACATGTATATCTAGAAAATAGTATATGACTAAAATTAACTGTCTTTTAAATTTTTCCAAATACTTTCAAATGTTCTTCTACTTAATATTGTTGACTTTTCCCATTCCTCAGCTAAAATAACCTGGATCACAAGTGTGGTCTTAGAACCCCTTAGAAATCCTAAGACTCCCTCAGAGGGACTTGAAAGGGAAATTTAGTCTCATAATAACATGAGGATGGCATTTTTCTTTCTTACTCTCACTTTTAAATGTAGCATGGAGTTCGTCAGAGAATATATGATATGTGATGAGGTCATTGTTTTGAACACTAATGTTGTGTTTCCTTATCTTTGTATTTTTAAATTTTCTCTTTAAGTTTCCACTGAATATTGATAGACATAATCCAGTAAGCAAAATCTCTTTAGGGACTTCATCATTTTTAAGTGCGCAAAAAGATTCTAAGAATCAAAGTTTGGGACTGCTTGATGTAATATTTGGTTGGTACTTAGTAGCCTTCTTTAAAAAGTACAAGAGTACATGACTTACAGTATTTGGAAGCCAATTTTGAACTCAGAATACATGCATGCAACCCAACAATTTTTTAATCTAACAAACTATTTCATATTTCTGTTCTAAATCCCTAACTTAGGGAAGTAGTTCCAGTCATCCTGAAAATAAATTAGCACATTCCTGTACTTGAAAGAGAGTAAATGCACTTTTTCTACTGTAACTACCACATATTTTAAGCAGTTAAGTTGAATTTCGGTGAAAGTATGGAATGACCCTCTATTCATGTACATCTGCACTGAGGGAAAAAAGTAAATCCATATCTCTGTATCTGTGTGTGTGTATATATGTATATATATAAAGATATATATATACCATATATATAAAGAAAATGTCATAAATGAATGAATAAGTAGACATATGTAATGTGCATTGAATCCTCTCTGGGGGACAGTAATCACGTGTGAAAATTTGCTGTTTCTCTTTTGCATTTTTCAAAAATCCTGAAGATAAATGTAGGCTCTCTGAGGACATGATGGTAGTGCATGTGTTGTTCTTACTCCCTTAAGGATGGTAGATCACAAATTTTCTGTTCTGTTATGTAAATCGTATATCTGTGTTCTTTGTACTACGTATCATTGCTTCCTCAGCATTGTTCTATCTTTGTGACTGTAAGATTTTCCTTGTTCTGCTGTGATTTGTGAGACTAGGCACCAATTTGCACATATATTTTAAAAATATAATCTTACTAGGAATACATTTGTATTATAATTTTCACAAAGACATGTTTATGATTGTACTTTCAGAATGATAATTTAAATGCTGTTCAAATTCTAGAAATACCAAATTAGTTATAATGTTTCAAGAAATTCACTGTATAAGTAAGTTTAATAACTCAAAAATAAATTTTTAGAAATGTTTAAATGTCTGTTTCTCATCCCAGAGAGTTGAGTACATACATTCACTGTCAGTTCACATACTAGTCAACGCTATAAAAAATGCTTATTTTGATTTGAAAGGCAGATTAACAGAAGAACAGAAAGAGAAATCTTTCATCCACTAGTTCACTCCCCAGATGGCTGTAACAGCTGGAGCTCAGATAATCTGAACCAGGAACTTCTTTTTGGTCTCCCACACTGGTGCAAGTCCCCAAGGAACTGAACAATCCTCCACTGCAGTGAGCTGTATCCAAAGGGAAATAGCCAGGAAACAAACACATGCCCGTATGGAATGCTGGCCCTTCAGACAGAGTTAGTATGACATGCTACCACACCAGCCCGAGTGTACTGATCAGCAGTTTTAAACTAGATCACAAGACACGTTCCCTCATGGTGGGAAAGTCACTTCACTTCAGTTTCCATCTCTGAAAAATAGTGATAGCAATGAGATAGCATTCAGTATTTATGTCTTTTTTTTTCCTGCAAGGAAACAGATACTTAACATTTGTGAAGTGCTTTTAAAATTTATACTAGAGGTTTTGGTGAGGGGACAAAATGACTAAACTGTGTAGATGAGTGAAGCTCAGAGTACAGAGAGAACACACACAAAATTAGGTGGAATAAAGAAATGAAGAAGAAAAAATTCCTGGGGGGGTGGTGGTGGTGAACGAAGCTCCATGGAGGCCAGCAGAGGGGAGGAGGAGCTGTGCAGACAAGGATAAACTACTGAAAATGTCCAAAGTTGCAGCCAGCAGCCCAAGAGGAAGGTGAGCACTGGCAAACTACAGAAAAGCACCTGGATTCACAGACAAAAACCTAGTGAATTTCAAGCCGGCACAAAATGAACAGTAGCAGGAAGTCTCCCTGTGGGAGCCTTCCCCAGAATACAGTGGCAAGCAAAATCCACAGGACACTAGTGAAAGTAGGCACAATTGTGGAAGCCCACAGCCCCCCAATCGATGGACCTTCAGATATGGGAGGTCACGCCTTTGGGGAACCAACCACTGCAAAGGGAGCTGCTAGGGAGTGATCCAACTAAGAGAGGAACTCATGGATTGAGAACAGAAGCCACCTCTCACCTGGAGGATTTGTGCCCTATACCCAAAGAGAGATACCAGGGTCATTGGGAGACACTGGATCCCTGGCAGGCAGTGTCTGGATCATGAATTCCAGTGTGAGCCATAGTGAAACCTCAGGTCACTCAGCCACTAACAAAGGGAGCCACTGGAGCAGAATAACACAGGGAAGTGAAGAGCCGCAGAGGCAGAGGCATGCACATCCACAGCAGGAACTGCCAAGGGGTATGCTTTGCTCAAGCAATCCCAGAAACTGGGAACCTGGCAAGCTAAACATTTTGAACAGTCTTGGCAAAGGGGTGCAAACCTGCTCCTCTCCACAGTTCCCTGGGCTGCACACAGGACTGGTTCAGCCCAGTGGCACACAGCGTGTGTTCCTGTACCACAGTGACCTTCCTGACCCCCGAGATGCTACAGAAAATAGCAGCAAAACACCAGAGGAGAGGGAAGGCCCACAGGGGTGCCCGTATCAGCAGCAGGAAATGCCTGGTGGCTTGGGTGCACAATCTGTGTCCTGAACAGAAAGCAAGGCAACAACCACAGAAGTCTTAGCAGAGATACAAGCAACAAAACTGCTCATCTGCCCCATTACACAACACCAGAAGCTGTGGGCAGGGTAAGACAGCGAGGAGCTCTAGCCCCACCCAAGGATCTAAAGAAATGAGCTGGGACAACACTGTCAGTAGAAAGATTCAGGCCAAAACCTCCCTACCCACAAACTTAAAAATAACAAATACAATTTAAAGACAAAATTTGCTTGAGAAAAATTTCACTAATCTGAAAGGCCCTGGAGAAGGGCAGAAGAAAAAATGGAAAGCAACAGAAATGAGGAAACTAATGCTTCCCTGAAAAATGAGCAAGACTATATCAAACTTAGAGCTCTGGGATGAGGATATTGAAGATCTCCTAGACAAGAAATTAAAAAAAAAAACATTATAAAACTCTTCAAAGACAGTGAGGAATAAAGGCAAGAATTCAAGGAACTTAAGGAATATATCGCAGAAGAGAAAATTCTATGAAACAAATCCAAATTGTAATGCTTGAACTAAGGAATACAACAGAGCAAAATAAACAGGTGACAGAAAACCTCACTAATAGAATGAATAACCCAGAAGAAAGAATAAGAAAACTGGAAGATAAAGGGCATGCAGTTAATCAGATGTATGGAAATACTGAATATAGAAGAAAAAAAATTATTCAGAAGCTGAATGACAGCATCAAGAAATCAAATATAAGAATTAGAGGAATTTCAGAAGTCATGGAAACAGAGGCAGGATTGCAAGAACTATTCAATGAAATTTAAAAGAGAACTTCCCAAACATTGAGAACAAAAGGGGAAGCCAAATACAGGAAGGATAGAAAACACCAATCCAAAAAATCCTTACCCAGACATAACATTGTTAAGCTTCCCCCAATCAAATATGAAAAAGGAATACTGAAACAAGCCCTTAAAAAGGATCAGATAACTGATTGGGGAAAACCAATTAGACTCACTGCTGACTTCTCAGAAAATACCCTTCAAGCAAGAAGAAAATGGAGTTACATTTTCTAAATATCAAAAGATAAAAACTGTCAATCCAAAATAATAATACATCCAGTAAACTTCTCCTTTGTGTTTGAAAATGGAATAAAATATTCCTACAAAAAAAAAAAAAAGCTGTAAGACTTCACCAACACTAAGCCAGCCCTGGAAACACTACGTTAAAATGTGCTGAAGACAGAAAGAAAGGAAGTTAGCCATGCTCACAACAAGCAAAGGAGAAGCTCTTCCCATTAAAACCCCCTAGAAAAACCAAAGTTAAACACAAATCACAACACACAAATGACAGGAATAATTTGCAACCTATCAGTATGAACTCAGAACACAAATGATTTCAACTCATCAATCAAAAGACGTAAATTAATAAAATGGATCAAAAAGCATGACCCATCTGTTTCCTACAAGACACATCTAATCAACAAAAATATGCAGAAGCTGAAAATGAAAGATGGAACATTTTGTGCCAATGGAAAGGAAAAAAGAGCCATTGTAGCTACTCCAATATCAGATGACATAGACTTGAGCATAAAAAAAAAAAAAGAACAAAAAACTGGATGACATGAAGAAGGACTACATAGCAATAAAGGGATCCATCCAGCAAGAGGAAATAACAATAATAAATGTACACACACCAAATAGGAGAACACCTAGCTATTCAAAACAATTATTGATGGATCCAAGGTGAGATACAGATGCCAATAAAATAATAGTGGGTGACCTGAGCAACTCATTTAACATCAGTAGGCACATTGATGTGACGAAAACTCTGAGGAAGCAACAGGTCTCACACAGGCAATAAAACAAATGGATTTAATCGATATTTATAGAACCTTATATCCCACAGACACTGAGTATATGTTTTTCTCAGCTGGACATGGAACTTTTCTCCAGAATTAATCATATTGTATGTCATAAAGCAAGCAAGCCTCAACAATTAAAAAGAAAAAAAAAAAAAAGAACCCCATGTATCTGTGGCCTGGGAAAGCAGTAGACAATGGCCCAAAGCCTTGGGACTCAGCACCCATGTGGGAGACCTAGAAGAGGCTTCTGACTCCTGACTTCAGACTGGCTCAGCTCTGGCCACTGTGATCACATGGCAAGTGAAGCAGAAGATGGAAGGTTTTTCTCTCTGTATATTTTCCTTTCTTAAAAAAAAAATAATCTTAAAATAATAATAAGTTCATGGAAATTTGAAAAAAAACAAGTTTTGCTTTTTCAATTGATGCATAAATTCTTCTGGTGATACATATTTTCCATGATTTTTTTTTTAATTTCATGAAGATGTATGGTACTCATATATTTGTGCTTAATTGCTAGTCATTCTTAAAGAATTGCTTTGAGCAATTCTTTTTAAGTTACAATCTTCTTATTTCTCAAAAGCAATTTAAAATATATTGGTAACTGCAAAGTCCAGTGTAAGTATAAGATATATTTCTTCTCTCCATAGTATCATTTCCGCTGTGCTGGTGAATCGAAATTGAAAAGCGTTAACACCACCTTCAGAGTGGACAATGGACAAAAGTATACACTGCATATCAGGTAAGATATTCATGCTTTGTTTTTCACATACCCTGATAAGTAGTGAAGACTATTACTCTGGTATCCTCATTGTTTTTAAACAAAGGTTTTCTATTTTTATTCATATGTTACTGTCTGTGAATGATTATCAAGCTTTCCATATGCTTGAAAACTATTAAAGAAACAATGTTACATATGTTACATTACCAGTGAAGTTATGTAAGCAGACTTACAAAGCTGCTATCAAGTCTGATTATTTTCCCCTTAGAAGTGTTGTAAAACTCAAATTGATTGACATTTTTGGATAAACAAAGTAGGACAGGTTCAGTATAGAATGTTTGTACAGTCAAGGAAATGTAAAGAGGAAAACGTGCAATGACCCCTTGTACCACTGCTCAGATAGAATAATTAATGTATACATTAGTATCTTGAGAAATTCTGTTATAAAATGACCCAAATGCTCAGTGATATCAATTTAAAATCACTTTGCTGATGTGATACACGAAGCTGATATTTTTCTGTTTTTTATTTTTAGTATGTATTAATTTTTAATGTAGGTTAATTGTTTTTTATTATATACTTCTGGTCCACATTTTTATGTCTCTAAAATATGAGTTAAAATAAACACTAGAGCCATAATTTGGAATGAAGACTTAAATGGTTTGGTTATGGGACTAGAATATTAGCGAAATTGAGTATATATTGAAATCCAAAAATATCAAAGCAGTCTTTTAGGGGACTGTGAAAAAGCTTTAAGGATGTTCCATCTCCTTTAATGCTAGATTTATGTAAGTTTTTCTCTGAAATACAGATTATGACTGATAAATGATCAGAAGAACATGTATTATCCAATGAGGGAAATATCTATATCATATGTATGTCCTGAATACCTGAAATAAACACCATTTTAAAACCCCCAAATCCTGTTCAATAAATGATTATATTCTTTCCTTACTTAAGACATGGATGTAAAACATTTTAATATTCGTCTTTGACATTTTCACTTCCTAAATAATTAAATCTTGGAGCTATACACTATGGAAAGTTTCATTCTTAGCCAGGGTATAATATCCCTGAATAGGTGCTTCCTTGCCCTGCTGGAAAAGTTCATGCAAGAGGTTGCTCTAACAGTGAAGCTACTAAGACACACACTACTTCCTCCAGTAAATGAAAAGAAAGGTTGGATATGCTGAGAAAGAAGGACCACAAGAAGTTGTTTTGGCCCTAGTGTATTGAAAAGAGTTATAAAAATAAATACAAATATAAATCCTAATTATAGCTCATCAAATTAGAACGGCATCCATTACAAATGCAGTTTGTTTCGAAGAAAAAGCATGCTTTTTAATCTCCATATTGAGATGGAAAACAGAGATCAAGAAATTAGTTACAGAAAATCAGATAGCTAGAAAATAGCACAATTCCTATACTGCTCTCCAAACCTGGTAGGTTTAAATCACTACATGAATCACTACAGCATGCTGCTATGTTCAAGATTATCTAACAATAAAAATTATAAATGTTCTTCCTATAAAAATACCATCAGTAGCAAGAACAATATTAGTTAGCCCACATTTAATTGCCACATACCAGATGCTTTATAAAGATGTAACTACATCTAATCATCATAACCTTAATGATACCTATGGCACAGCTTTCTGGGCTCTCATAACAAAGTGTGACAGAATTCTGAAAGCTAGAAATCCATAATCAAGCTGCCCACAGTTTGATTTCTTCTGATACTGACCTCTGTGTGTCTTCATGTCATCTTTCCTCTATTTGTCTGTGCCCTTATTTCCCCTCTTATCAGGGGCACAAGTTGTATTGAATGAATTGGATTGAATGCCTCTCTAGAAACCCAACTTTAGCTTATTTCCTGTTTCTAGATTGACCTTCCCTCCAAGTATATTCACATTGCGAGGTAGTGGAGGTTAGGGTTTTGACATGCAAATTTGGAGAGGGACATAAATCAGCCCTTAACAGTCATCTTCCTGGTTTGGAGTCCATATGCATAAAGCCACAGTTATCTTTCTCCAGACCACCTCAGTAGTCAGAGCAAGATGAAAAGCTAGATTTCCCACTTCCTGACTTAATTAACTGTATTTGTTATAGCATGCGCAGTCTGTATCTTAAAAGTGATGAAATATTACTTAAAATCTTTAAGGAAAGAAGCATTAACTTTGAAACATTCCAATTCCAGAAAAATAGAATATTTTCACTACCCTCATCACAATGTCACTTTTAAATATATTCAACAAAAAGAAATAGCTTTCCTTTTATGTTATATGACTGTGATTTCTTCTTTTGCAGTTTACATGCACTGCTGCTTTTTATGATTATCAAAAAGTAGTTGATGTCCTGTCTACATCTGGTCTAAATCACTTAAAATCAGCAATATTTCTCCTCAGGTCTTAGATTTGTTTGAAGTACTATAATAGAAAAATTTATGGAAATACATTTTTCCTGTGATTGCCATCTATAAAGAGCAAGAGTGGAGCTTCATTGGTTTTATTTTTCCGTACTTTTATACTGTGGACTTGGAAATGAAAAGGGAAAAAATGTCAGTTTTAAGTTAAATACCTTTAGAATGCTGTCACTGTTTCTCTCTCTCTCTCTTTCTCTCTCTTCTCCTCCTCCTCTTCCTCCCTCCCTCTCTTCATTCCCTCTCTCAACAGTCTAAGGAAAGATAACTAGTGTGTGCACATACTACTCCAACCCTAAAGTCATTCATCCTTTTCCGTTGAAAAGCAGCCTTCCTTTTGAATGTGGATGTAGCACATGGGTTCTTCTCACATTGTTACAGAACTGTAAGCAGAAGGAACAGCCATGTTTCCTAGGCTTGTAATGAAAAATTCTCTTAGAAAAGATGATGCAAATAGGATCTCTGAAAAAGTAACTAATCTCATTAATTTTTAGGCTGGGGAAATACAAGCTGTTCTCAGACCAGTATGTGCCTTAAGAATGTGTGACTCCTTAACATAGCCAATGCAGGAAGGAAAAAATATAGTGTACTTAAATCAGGTAAATTATACCATGATTTTATAAATGTACTGAAACAATACATACTGAAAACTCCTTTAGTGAGCAATCAGTTAGAGTTGGTGCTTATATTTGATGAAAGGAAAGCGGAGCTGGAACAAAGCAGTGATGTTAGGATGCTGAGTAACACAGTATAGAATAATAAAAATATTGTCTTTTAGACAATAATAGGAAAAATATGTTTCTTAAAAAATATAGAAGGTGACAAGAATGAAATAATTTAAAAATATTTATATAGGGAAGAGAGAAGATTTGTGACAAGCCTAGTTGGGATCATCCTGACCAGGCAGCTACACCTGCCTGTAAGTACATGTGAGGCACAGGGGTGGAGGTGGGCTAAGCCAGGTCTCAGCACATTCTGGAGGACACAGGAAGCAGGATTGGGGTACAGCCTTTTAGACGTTTAAGGGGTCTCCCCAACTGGGCTGCTACATCTACTGGTGCCTGCAAAAACTTGGTCTGGGAGTGGGCCAGGCAGGCTTTCACACCTGCTGTGGTATATGAGAGATGGGGCCTTGGAAACTCCTGGTAGCAGTTCTGAAGGTTGCCTCAGGCTGGCCAAGCGTGGCTGGTGAATATGAGTGCTTGGTGCAGCCATGGGCTGGTTTGTCCTGCTTCATGCACTTGTGCACATGAGGGCTGAGTCTGGGTGTGGGCCAAAACAGACTGCTGCACCTGTCAACATATTTGAGAGCCCATTCTGGAGAGAGGCCTAGTAAGGGTTCAAGGAGTTTTGCTGACTGGGACACTGAACCCACCAGTGCACATAAAAGCTGAGGCTGGGGACAGGGCAGATCAGAACAATGAACCTCCTGGTGTTCTCAGGAACTGTGGCTGTGAGTTTGCCTGGCACAGGTTCTTAAGGGGCTTCCTGAGCAGGCTAGCACTCCTGCATATATGTATGGCAGTGAGAGCAGGCAGTGGTCCAGATCAGGCTGCAGTATCTGCCAAGGATTGCTAGAACCTGGATCGAGGTAGGAATGGGAGGGCAGATAGGATGACTTCTCTAGGAGCTTGCCCCCTTGGTTTTCTTGGCTACCTTAAATTGACAGAATCCATGATCTCAGGAAAATTCCCATAGACATGTAGACTGACCACAGGGCACATCTTGCAGAATAGAGCCACCTCTGTTGCTGATTTCAAGGAAATCATGAAGAACATATTCAGATGAACATGAAAGACAAGATAACCAGCCCCTCTAATTCAGCGGAAGACCCCAGGTACCTCTTCAAAAGGTGATAAAGAAAAGCAAATGGCATAGCACTTCAGACCAAGTTCCATGGAAAGTGGCTCAGCCTGTGAACACTCTGAGGTAGACATGGCCAGCCTACGGGCATTAGAACCTGTGTGGGGGAAGCAATGGAGATCCCTATGAGGACAGGTATATAAAATGAAGACAACATTTTAGAGCAGTCTTGATGATACAGGGGACACAGCCATAACCCCAGATAGGAAAGCTTCCAGTCAGTGATGAGGATTCACTAGCTGAGGGTCAGAAGCAAAAGTAGGGTAACTGACCGGAAGTCACATCGTCCTTACTCTATGTCAATTTTACCCATCTACCACTCAAGTAACAGCCCCAGGACATTCATACTCACATGGAGATCCCTGAGACAGCATCAAGAGAACATCTCCATCTCTTGACATTACAGTAATCTGACAAGCAGCGAAACACCTTCTACCTTCCTCTACCACAGAAACATTTGTGTCATCCCCTCCTCTGACTCTCATCCCAAACAGTGGCCCATATGGGTCTGTATTCCCCTCACCATTGTTATGATCATTAAAAAAATAAATGCACTAATACTTTTAAAATGCAAAACATTGGTTTTTTTCTTTTTATAGAGAAATATAGTAAGTTGACATTACTTGTCATTCCACTGGGTAATGAAACCTGGAACTTCCAGCATCCATCTAACCATAAGTTAGTACTTGTTAATCAACTGTCCTTCTCTCTCTTCCAAGTCTGCATGTGATACTTGTCC